AAAGACAAAACCAGTCAAAAGTTACCATTTTCCACTGATATGGCATTCCCAGAATGAATAATTTTAAGCACTATTCATAGTGATCAGTATATTACAATTGATTAAAAACCTACTGTTTTGGTTTAGTTGATTTCTTCAGGTTATCTAAATCACCAGTGACAAATTTCCTCTGAGACAGTTTTACCTGATTTCGACTGAATGTAGCTTTTATGAAGCAATCAAGCATCTCCTTGTCCTGTAAAATAAACCTTCTTAGCTGGCCATAAACTCAAACCCTCTTTATAAACAGTAAACTTCATTTACTTTGAAAAACAAGTAAAAAATAAACAATTCAGCAAGACATTCATTTGAACCAACCGGGCAATGCAGCGTAACGTGCGACGCGCCATTTGCAAGGGCAAATATTGAAGGTAAACCTGTGCTGAACCCCACCTGAAAAAACGGTAGTACCAAGAAGCCTTACGGAGAATACTATAACGATAACTTTATAAAATAATCTCCTGACGTTTCTCGGGACATCCTCCTCACATAAAACAAAAAATTTTACGATCTTAGTGTAGATACCTCAAGCACGCTTTGACCGTCCACTATTTCATCAGATTCATATTGTATTATATTGTCCAGAACATGACACAATGCATTTACACCCTCCCAGTCGTCACTCGAATCACTGGCTGAAAATTCTTTTCTCCTATAACTTGTCTGCAACTATCCAATATCTAAATCTATACCTTGTATAAAGAAATAACTACATATTTGAAAAATCCTCGTCCTCAAAAACCAAAGCATTCCCTGGAAACCTGCATCTGAATTTTAATAGTGTAATAAAATATTTACCACCGTAACTGCTCTTCCTCCTTCCTGCAAAATCATCCGAAACAATGTCATTGCTCTCGCTCTGTATCTCTGGTGACAGGTTAGCATGAGCTGGAGCCACGTAATCAATACATTTGCCTGATTCAAGTACCAGCTTACAGCTCGAAGCAGCCGCTTCACTTGCTTTTGCCGACGTTATCAGAACCATACCTTTTCACAGTAGAACCGCAACCAGGGTTGCTCACAATTCAAATTTGCTAAAAAAAACTTCACGTTCAGAACTACCGTTATCTTACTTACCAATACGCAGTTAATCGACAGAATAGCTTTGAAAATACCCCAAAATGATTCCAGCAAATCCACAAACAAAAATCTCTTCAACAAAAGGATGATTGTAATTCATCACGATAATGGCCAAAAAACAGCCTTACCCACCTACCCTCCCAATATCAAGCATATTCCAGCCACCAAATACAAATAATGCTTGAACAACACGTCTTAGGAAGACCTACCAATACTAACTTAATTCAGTCAACCGAAAACAATCTTAGCAAGTTCCTCGGCATAACTAAACCCAACCTTTTAAAGAAACTTTTGGTGGTGAAAACTGCCGTAACGAGTGAAGGACTGCCACCTACATAAATCGAGAAACACCACCCTCAACCAGCAGTTCCCACTCTGTCCCCACCCCTACGCCCTTTTAAAAAGCCACAAGCGCCCAAGAACACTACCAGAAGTTCTAAAAGAAGAAAAAACTGGGTCTGTCACGCCTGAACTCTTCGACAAGAACCTGCATTGTAGAAATAACTAAGTCAGAAAACCACATTAGAGTCACCAGACTGTCAATACTATAACAGAACAAACTTAACCTCTTCTTGACCAACTTCATGAAAACCTTAACACCAAGCAGCCTACTCGTCCCACACAATGCTCACACCGCCCCGTTGTCTTTAATCTATCCAGCATGTCCACTGTACGCCCAAAATTTAGCCCCGTCAACAAGTACAGACTACCCACTACTCTGCAAAATCAGTTGTGCGTCCTCGAAGATACTCTCTCCCTGCCCTCTTGACCACCCAACACGCATACCAACTAACAACTTTCTCATCTCCTAATTGCTCTACCGGTGGCGACAAACTACTAACGAAGCAACTTGTCCGAACAACCAAATACTGCTAACAAACACCCATGCCTAACACCAAAATCTCTCGCCCCGACAGAAAATCAAATCAGACCTCCTAAAAACACCTTCACTAACCCCGACAAAAAATAAAAAAAAACAACCAAACATAATACAACATCCCCACCGCTTACGATAAATGGCTTTCTCGCACTCAATAACAACTTTGTTATCAAGTACGAACCACTTGATAAACCCTCCCGCAAAAAAAGAAAATTGTCCCTTCTTCCCCCAAACTTACACACCCTCTCACAATACAGGGCACAAAGAAACAGACTGCCTCCACGAACTATTCGCCAATTCCCCTTACACGCTCCAGTGGCCCAAAACATTGCCTTCGCGAGGTAATGGCACTAGAAAATCTTTGCGTAGATCCAACTCGTAAAACTGTCAAATCACTCACAACCCAATCAATGTCAACACATTCCACCTGTGACCACTACGCCAAACCCGCATTAGTCTCTATGCAGTGTTAGTAACTCCATCTCTGCTATTACTAGTTACCGGAACACTGCGGTCATGGACGTCCTTTCTTCCAGTAAGAACCCAGCCTTCCACTTCCGCTAACCTACCGACATAACTACAGTACCCAAGAATCCGAGCATAGCCCTGCATAAACTCCATGCACTAAACCTACTGTCTCCCGTTGTCTCTGCTAAGTCTCCCATTCAACCGTACTCTTCCAAACTCCATTTTAAACATACACAAGATGCAACTTTATTTTAAACTATCGCGAAATAAAGATGACAATTTTTCTCTCATCCTTTCTGCCAAACTACTTTTACCATGGCATTTTCTGCCTTTCGCACGAGAGTGAACCAATTCAAAAATAATTCCACATAAAAGGACATTTTATTTTGCAAAACCATGATTACGCTGTTACAATAAAAAAATAAATGAGTAAATAAAAAACACAAACATATTGATCCCGTTAAAACACTAAAAACCCACTTCAACTTATCAGACTTCGCCCCAAAAATTTCTGGTAAAAAACATACCTTCAAAATCATGATAATGCAGTAAATTTTAGCCTACCGTATGACCCAGAAATTACCTCAGACAAAAAATAAAGAACTGGATACATCATACATCAACTCTTTAGTGATCGAATTTAACCCTCAACTCCAAAAATAAAGCGTTACTATCCAGTGCGTTAAGCTGTAAATAAGATTAGATGCACGTGTTAACAAATACAACCGGAAATGCCACTTGCTGCATACGGCAAAAAAAAAATACTAGCAATTTCTGGCAAACTTCAGGTAATGAGCACATCAGAAAAACTATTTCTTCTAAGAATCCTTCATCTTTCAAACTTTGCTACCTGAGTCGGCCGAAAAGAAAGACCGACAACTGCGTTGACGCAGTCAGACAAGATTTGCTGAAACCCGGAAGCCGTGAAGTTCACAGCCTAAATAGAAAATATTAGAATCATGCAGACATCCAAAACAAGACGAGACTTGCAACTTGCAGCTTAACTTTCATCCCCTTCCATTTTAATTGCATTCCCTCACAAAACAAACACAGCTCAGTACAAGACGACCGACTTAATACACCTACAACAGTAACCCAACACAAATCAGTGAATGAGGACTTTAAACAATGCATTACTGCCCTGATTCCGCCGATTAGACCACCAAGTGATCTTAATAAAATTATAACGCCTGATCAGCACTATAACGACTACAGTGCAAAACCCGTCTTGTAATCCACCACACGTTTGCATTATAAATAAAATTCTTCTTAACTTACATAGGTCTTATATGAAAACTCCACCATCCCACGTCAGGAATTCTTGAAGACAAAAGGGCAAAAAAAATATAATAAACTTTAATAATAGAGCAAAGAAATAAAAAAACCAAAAAACAAACAAACAACAACAGTATGCATAAACTTTTGTAGAAAAGAACAGAGACAAAAAACAGACGACAATACCGACTCCCAGCAACAAAAACAAATGATTACCAACTGCTCATCCCGATGAAGGGAGAGAAAGAGAGAAGCAGAGCCCTTGCCACGCAACCACTCACCGTCCATCACAGTAAACACACTGATAAATGCCTGTCGTCATATCGCGAGAATTAGGAGCTACTGCACCGCGCATTTTTTTCCATTTTCATTTTGCACGTTTGCAGCAAACGCTGCGACTGCGGCGATGTTGGCTTTGTAGCGATTACTTATCGACGGCAGAGGCTACGTCTCTTTTTCATTTATCTTTTTTCTGTCACACACCAAGAATTGTTTTAAAAAACATGTTGCACCCATATTCTAACTCCAATACTTCATCTATATTATTCTCCTTCTCCTCCTATCGCTAGCATTTGAGTAAAGTCGCCCTGGTGCTCCCACCATTTAGAGTCTTAACCGATTCTTCAGTAGTTTAACAGCCGCTAGATGTGCACTGTATTTTTGCCAATAATTAGTTGAACTCTTTAGAACTTCATACAAAATATTTCAAAAGACGGATTTCCTTAAAAAAACTACAAAAAACCCATTCTTTTACAAAAGGTATGTTATGTGCGCATTCACAAACTACAAATTTCACATTTCCTGGTATGCTTTGAAGATCGACTTCGAAGATAACCACAAACCAACGCTTGCTGTGATCACTGCCTGTTGACAAAAATGTACCAAACAATAATCAAGCAAAAAATTTCATCCTGTTTGCCATCACTAGGATATGTCTTGGGAAAAACAACCTTTGTAATTTTACTTCATTTACATCTCCGTTTTCTGTATGTTAAATCTGTAGAGTTGAAACCGTAGAAAGAAAATTTTTTAATCTTGCTTAAACCTTCCTTAAAATCAAGTTTATAATTTGCACTGATGAAAAGAATTTCTTCCCTCTTCTTTCCTCCACTTGACGATAATAATCCCGAGAAAAAAAAAACCGAGCCACTACAGCAAGATCAATAAAAATGTCTAGCAGAGCTGTGCAGCACTCGTCTTTGCCTTCTGCCGGCAAACATAAAATCAATCAGCTTGAAGATGTCAACATCCAGCTCACACTTAACTTCTGCATTGAAATGGACTAGGATGAAAGTTGCCGGAATTCACTCCCACTGTCACTGTGACTGGTACTTGTCAGGCCGTTAGTTGAGAAGTTCAAAAATTTCTTTTTTTCTTCCCCTGTTTACACATTTTGTTATTACCTCAAAGTCACGTTAAATTGAATCCTTCTCCTCTTCCCTTCCGTCTTCACCAAAAACAAGAAAAAGTACATTTATACAAGTAGTCGCAAGATGTCTTCAGCCACTTGAATAAGAGAAAACAAATAAACTGAATCTTTTAAAAAACTGAAAAAAAATAAACTTTTTCTGTAAAGAATCGTTGCTTTAACAAATGGAACTATATATGGCTTCTAAAAAACCTGAATTAAACTCTGTAAAGGAACCTTTTTCACCCCGTCCCTCTATTAACACTGCTCTGAAATAGCCTAAAAATGAAATAATCATAACTCAGTAAACTTCGTTTTCTAAAGAAAAGGAAAATACCAATGAAACGCTCAGAAAAAGGTCTAAAGACCCTTCGAAAGCTAGCCGGCTTTAAATTTATTTATCGCCTTCGTTTCAAGGCCAATATCGGCCTGGCGAATTTAAGTAGCAAAAGTTTGCAGACAATATTTGCATCCCATTATCGATGTTTCTGGCCACCAAAAATTCAACAGTTCCCTATATGAATCTCTCAATTAAAGATTCCAGCATTCTATCAGTAGGGACTTTACGAGAACAAACACGTGTTCTCTCTTGCTTTCTGTCCAACTGCTTGGCATAGCCTGCCGAGAACTAAAAAACTGATGATACGCCTCTCAAAGTCCCAGCACAGTAGTGCAATAAATCACATTCACTCTCTCTTAGCAATGAAAAAAAAAAGCTATATAGCAACGAACACAAGCAAAAACAAGAAAACAGGGCATGCGAAAAAAAAGTAATGCAGCCAGTTTCTTTAAAAAATAAGAAAAGATGAAGTTAAAATTTTATAATTTTATCACCCACTATGCGTACCTTATTTTATCCACTCAATGCCAAGATGAAGAAGATAAAACGGCTAGAAAACTGACGTGCTTGAAACAGTTCCATTTGCATTTTACGCATCCAAAAATGAAAAAACTGCCTCTTTACCATTTTTTACACATTTTTTTCTCTAATTAAATGCTGTTTAAAATCTAGATTCTTCATTCCTTTCCAAACATATTTCTAAGGTAATCTTAGAAAGCGATGTTCAAACCTATCACGGTAAATCCAGCTCCGTTTTCAATATAAAAAAAAATAAATGAATGAGTAAATAAACAAAGGAATAAGCAGCGTCACTTCCACTAATCAGCTGATAATGATAAAAGTAAAAAATATAAAGAAATAGCCTCACATTTAACTTTCAGATAACGAAGAAATAATGATAAATCATATATTAAAACTAAATAAAAGGATTTCTTCTTGCAAAAAAAAAAAAAAACGAACACAAGCAAACAGATGGTCCT